AGGCTCAGATTTGGGTTTAAATACCTTTTGATATTATTTTAATTATTGCTTTCCCCACCCCCACCCCTTTCCTGTTTCCCCTCCTCTTTTCCCCTAAAGGCACTGTTCTGCAAAGCCTGCAATGATTGATATGATGGCAGTGCTGTCATTCTTTTTAACCAAAAAAAAGTCATTTTTGTTCTAGTTATTTTAATAGAGTCCCATTAAAGATGTATTGCTGACTGAAATATCGGCATGAAGGGCTCTCACTGAGCTGAGCCCAGGAATTAAGAAGTCAGGAAATCGGCTGCTGCATTGCAAGAGAGCCTTGTGTGACACCGAATCTCCTGATTGGGGAGATCATTACTGCTATTATGACTCGACTTGCGTAGGAATTTTAAATTCCATCTGAATGTCAGTAATAACCCTCTTAGCAAATTATCCTGAATAAAATCACGAAGGCATTTTATATAATAGGTGTTGAATTACTGGATAGATTTGCTAATTAAATACTCTTTGTTCTGCTGCAGTTGACATTACAGGGTAAGATCTTGAACAATTATTCTCAACAGCTGTACTTTGTTAAGGGAAAAATTAACCACAAAGTTTATTTTTTTACACTTGAAGTTGGCAGATTTTTGAAATGTGCTTGAAAAAATTCCATCATCCAATTGGTAATGAGTAGCTAAATATGCAGGTGTTGCTGTGAAATCAGATAGCTGCAGACTGCCTTATTAATGAATTTAGCAATCTTTTCGAGCCCTGTTTGCTGGCCGCTTGTGCTTATAAAATGATTTTCTGTCAGAATGGCTAGCTTTAAAATTAGGCTTGTCACTTTGAAATGAATTTATGAACAGTCATCTTGTATTCACTGTACCTTGTGTCCCGTAGATTTTTCTGGATACCAGTGGCTATTTTTAAAAATGCATTTCTTCAGTGGAGGAAATACCTGTAATGTATAAGTTTTTGATTAATAGTTTCTAGAACATTCATATGGATTGGCTTTTGTAATAAGGCTGTGGGATACAGTAAAAAGAAAATGAATCCAAAGGTCCTGTTCTAGGTCAGACAGTGAACTATAACCTCTGCATCAAACACATCTTCAGGTGAAGTCTCAGAGTTTAATTTTCCTCATCATCTTTAGGATCATTCAGCCATTACCCTCCAACTGTTCATTAGTGGTCCCCATGTACCAGGCCCTCTGCTAGATGCTAAGTTTTGTAGTTCACTGGGTATCCAATAGCAGAGCACTTCCCAATAAGCAGTTTGAATTGACGCCTTAGCCTAAGGCAGCTTTTGGATGATCTTGCTCATTAGTAGTTCGATTAGCATTGGACTCAGGGTTACCACAGTATGCACCTTGTAGAACTGCTTAGTGAAGAAACATGAGGTTAGCAATCAGCCTGGTTACAGTTTGTCTGATACAACATCAGATAAACTGAAGAGTTGCAGACTGTGGTGAGAACTTTGACCTCAAGGCATTGTCACCAGCTCTTAGTAGAAAGCACTGGAGAACTGAATATGTATTGAAAAAGTGACAAATTGTTCTTGTACTACTTCACTTGCATGTAATAATTACTTAGAGAACTTATGGAGTTGACCATTGTGATGAGAGTAGCTATGTCTTATAAGGAGGTGGAGATGAACCTTTGATAAGTAGTTCTTTCTGTCCTCTCTTTTATTAACTTAACCGTATTATGTCCTTTTCCTCAAAAGTTTGTTGGGTATTTCCCCACACTGCATTGTACCATAATTTAATTCTAGTGTCTATTAGAAAAATAATTGAGATTACAATGGGACCTGTCAGTCACTTGACACATAGCTTTTGATTGCTTGTCATATCTAAGGTCTGTAGGTGTGAACATGCCCTTGGGCCTCCAGAAGCGTGTGGTCTACCTAGGGAAGGTAACAGTCATTAATAGTACAAAGCACATTCAGTTACCAGAGAAAAAGCAAGGTCTATGAGAAACTAGAGGACAGTCAATGAGATTGTTCTAGCTTGGATAGTTCAGATTTTATGGAATAAAATTTGGTTTAAGCTGAACTTTGTAAAATGTAATCATCGTCAGAGGACTGGGGAAGAAATTCCATTGTATTAGTGAAGGCACCAAAAGATGAACCTGTATGTGGTAACTATTTAAAGATTATGAAGTTTTTCTTGCCCTAGAGGTTTTGAGAAGGAAATAACCGCTGAATAGGTAGAGCTGGGGTTTAGATGTAACTGTAGAATTTAGGTTTGATCTTGGAGGCTCCCATTATAGGAGATTCATCCTGATTCATTCAAGTTGGTAAGTTCTAAGAAAAGTTAAAATGTTGCTTTACAGGTGTTATTCAGCAGCAACTACATATCTCTGTGAGACAGTTCTGTTCCCAGCATTTTAGGTTGAACCTTCCGGAATGGTCCTTCATGGTTACCATGATGGGTGTTGCTGCTCTAGCTAGCCCTCGATGTATGATGCTGGTTTTCTTTTAATTCTCATGAGAAACAAAAATGTTTTGCAGAAGTTTTCTAGAGGAATTCTCCTTACCTTTGATTGGTCAAGGTAAAGTCATGAACATGTCTAAGTCAGGAAGGTCTCCAGAATGGAATTACCATGGTTTTCTTGGACCAATCTTAAGAATCATCTTGGGAACTCTTTTTAAAAACTCCTAGAGAGCCGGGCGGTGGTGGCGCACGTCTTTAATGCCAGCACTCGGGAGGCAGAGGCAGGCGGATCTCTGTGAGTTCGAGACCAGGCTGGTCTGCAAGAGCTAGTTCCAGGACAGGCTCCAAAACCACAGAGAAACCCTGTCTCGAAAAACAAAACAAAACAAAAAAGCAAAACAAACAAACAAAAAACTCCTAGAGAGACAGCTAGGGAGCCTGCATGGGACCAGCCTAAGCTCTCTACCTGTGAGTGACAGTTGTATAGCTTGGTCTGTTTGTGGGACTCCTAGCAGTGGGATCAGTGCCTGTCCCTGATACTTGAGCTGGCTTTTAGAACCTAGTCCTCATACTGAGTTGCCTCACTGACCTTAATACAAAGGGAGGAACTTAGTTCTACCTCAGCTTATATTCCATGCTTTGTTGACACCTATGGGAGGCCTGCCCCTTTCTGAACAGAAATAGAGGAGGAGTGGATGGGGGTGGAGGGGAGATGGAGTGGAGAGGAAGAAGAGGAAACTGTGGTGGGGATATAAAATAAATGAAAAAATATTTTAATTAATAAAACCACTTCTGGTCAAAGATATTCTGGACCAGATATTGGTGGAAGAAAATATTTGCTTTGGAAGAGAACAAAATAGGACCATGTAATAAATTTTAGAAAGCTAGTACTCTTGCATAGTAGTTCTCAACACTGGAGTCAGAGAGAGTTACACACTTTTTGGTTGTCACTGCTTTAGTTATTTAATGATCCTCAGGTAATTACATGTTGCGAGGAGAGGGCCTGTTTGTTCGTCCTGGTCGCCCGGCTAGCCACATAGTATTTGTATTAATTAAATCACTGCTTGGCCCATTAACTCTAACTTTTTATTGGCTAACTCTTACATCTTAGTTTAACACATTTTTATTAATCTGTATATCTCTACGTGGCAGTGGCTTACTGGCTAAGTTTTGGCAACATGTCTTATTCTGGTGGCAGATCCATGGTGTCTCCCTGACTCTTTCCTTTTCCCAACATTCAGTTTTGTCTTCTCCGCCTACCTAAGTTCTGCCCTATCAACAGGCCAAGGCAGTTTTTTTTTTATTCATTAACCAAGAAAAGCAACACACAGAGGGGACTCCCACATCAATTACACTATATAGCCATTATAAAAACTACTTTTGAACATATGATCAAAGCTTAATCAGAATTCACCATGAGCCTCCATTCCCCACCAAGGCATGAAAACCACTAAGAACTTTTGAACATCTGAAGAAAGTTGGACAATAGTAAGAAACGGCAGTGAACAATGAAGATGGCCAGTGATTGGTAGATGGATAAGGTTCTTCAAAGACAGGAGTATTCTTTACTATGGAGGATAAGAAAGACTGAAATGAAACCTTGAGATTTCAGCTTAGCTGAAAAGGTAGGAGAAAGAACCATGGATGAAAGCAAACTTCTGATTCATTGAAAAAAAAATCTTAGATCAATGCATGGAGAATGAGTGATACTGGAGTGGCAATAGTTTTGAGTGACTAAGGTTTATGCCCTGGAGCTAGAGTGCCTAGTTTTGTACCCTTGTTTTACTGTGGCTAGGACAGAGAAATTACGTTCTTTATCATTTCATAGCTAACAGACGTGGATATTAATAGTAGCTACCTTTTGGAGATCTTGGAGACAGAAAGGACAGAATGTAGGAAGTGCTCTCAGCATAGCGGTATCTTGCACATGATTTAGTATCTCTTTGCTCTCAATACATCATATTATTACGTCCTCAGAGTCCTTCACATATTAAATATGATGCCTCTGATAGGGCCCAAGGTAACATATATGCTTTTGTCTGTGTTTACGTTGTTTTGTTTTAAAGCATGTAGCTATGTGTGCCTGGGGGCAGACCCCATCCATAGTTATCTGTATATTTGTTTTCATTTGCTTTGTATTGAAATCCATCATTTTACCAGACCATATAGTCACTTTCAAGGAATTTAGTCTAGAAAAGAATTTTAAATTAAATGGAGTACTTTGTTCTTCATCTCTTAAGATTCTGAATATGGATATGAATTGCTAGATTTTAAGCACTATAAAGCTTTCTTTAGTCATGCAATTCTATTAAAATTTTAGTACTGAGAATAAGTGACCTTTACCATACTATTAAGGGCTACTTTATTATACATGATTATTAAAGATATACAGGAATAGATACTTATTGCCTTGCATGTCTCTACTAGGTATCAGCATGAAGGCAAACTTAGATTATATGGATGTTACTGTTACTGTTATTTGAGATTGGGTGTTATGAAACATTCAAGAGCTTTAAAGATGCTTGGAAATTGTGTTATACTTGTGCCTTTGTAATTGTGTAATATATTAATGTTGACTTTTGTTTTATTTAGATTTTGATGCACACAAAAGACATGGTACAGAAGGTAATGCTGAATATTGCATTCTAAAACAACTCTTAAATATCATACCAGCTGACATTTTAGTGTTCAAGGAAAATTATAACCCAAACATACTGTATACCTCCTTTACATTTATAATCCCTGATAATAGATTGCAGCCTTTTCTCTTGAATCAGCCCTGATAAGATCTAGTACTAGACCTGTTTGAATCCTATATGTCTTTCAGGCAACTTAGTTATGGTGCTAATTAGAGTTTATTTCCAAGCCTTTATAGTATATGTGTTGCAGTGTTGTTTGTTATGATTGACTATTTGGGGCACACTTCATATTCTACTAAATATTCTTTGAGAATCCAATAAATGGGCCCCAGAATTTTTTAAATCCATAATTTTGCTTCTTAAACTGCTATGACTGCTAAGTACATGGTAGAATAATTAAATATAGACCATTTCCTAGTCTTATTCTTCTTATTTTTTTTAAATTCCCTATTCTGTTTCAATTGAAACTACATATAGTTAAATCTTCTAGATTTTTAAAACAATAATTGAGAAAGTTTTCTTAATCTTGCAATGCTTGCATTTCTAGTTCCTAAAAGGCTTAATCTCCAAGTGTAGCCTTACAGTCTAGATAGTAAGTAACATGACCTGTGAAAAATCAGTGACACCTATAGTCTCTAGTATTAGAAACCTTTAGCTTCATTGTGTGTAGTGAGTAGTGTGTTTTTGTTATTAATCTTTATACTTTTGGCTTTCATTAGATGAATCTTGAAGTTATTTATGGAGATACGGATTCAATTATGATAAATACCAACAGCACCAATCTGGAAGAAGTATTTAAATTAGGAAACAAGGTGAGATGATTTAATGATTGCTTATTTTACCTGGATTTGTGAATTCTGTATTTAACGCAGTAAATACAATCAGTTCATGTGTTATGTATATGTGTGTATTTTTGAAAATAATAAATTGAGTCTCACTAAATTTTTCATTCTTTATTTTTTTCTCTATATTAATTTGTTTTGAGGACAAAGTTCAAAGGTAGTTCTTTTCCTTAAAAAGTAGATTACAGGCTGGGCGATGGTGGCACACGCCTTTAATCCCAGCACTCGGGAGGCAGAGGCAGGCGGATCTCTGTGAGTTCGAGAACAGCCTGGTTTACAGAGCTAGTTCCAGGACAGGCTCCAAAGCCACAGAGAAACCAAAAAAAAAAAAGTAGATTACATTTTTCCTTTGAAAAAAGATTAAATGTAGTCCTATTAGAACTTCATGTATTGTCATGCACAAGGAAATTATTTCCAGTAGTATTGAGATATTTCATATGTAGATTGGATGAGTATTTACCTTTCTACATATACACGTGTACTCACACATGCACATTTAATTTTATCGGAGTATTTTAAATAGATTAGAAAATACAAAGGGACATTTAGAAGCTGTCGTTGGTAGCCTCTTTTTTTGTTTGTTTATTTTTTGAAACAGGTTTTCACTGTGTAACAGCTCTGGCTTCTCTGGAACTTGCTTTGTAGACCAGACTGGCCTAGAACTCACAAATTTCTACCTCCTCTGCCTCCCGAGTGTTGGGATTATAAGCATGTGCCTCCACTGCCCAGCCATTGGTGGCCTCTTAATGGTGATTCATACTTGAGCACTTGATTGTTAAGATTTTGTGTTAGTGTTCTAAAAGTGGAAATACCTTACAAATTACCAGGTTTTCCTTCCTGGAAAGTGTGGAATTTGAACTGTACTTTTCACTTGTACATAGGCCTGGTCTTTTGTACTCATGGTGGGCATTGCAAATCTTTGAAGTTTTCCCTAGAGGAGATGATTTGTGCCTTGGCCTTGTCAGCAAAGGACAAGAGACTGTTCAAGACTGTTCACTTATTCATTCAGCACATTGTTGTTTGTCTGTACTCAGGGTGATAATGAACATTTTGAACATTATCTATCAAAGTTTTATATATTTTTTGCCCTCATAGTTATTGGATTGTCTAGTTGTTCATCAATTCAGTAGTTTCAAGGCAAATACAATTTGCATTCTTTTACACTCAAGAAAGACCTGCATATAATTTCCCCTCGTTTATGTATTTCCTGGAGTGAAACGAGCCAGTTCATAGCCTTTTTTTGATGGAATAATAATATTTATATTATTATCTCTGTCAATTTTTTAAAAAAAATATTTTTTGATATAAAAGCTTGTTATATAGCTCAAGCTTGTCTTGAACTTTGTAACCACCCAAAATTGACTTCAATGCTGATGTCATCCTTCTTCAACTTCCCGATTTGTTGCAATTTTTATTTTAATTGGTATATATTCATTGTAGATACTTCTAGGTTTTATACAGACATTGTCATACTGTATGCACTGAACTTTGGCCATATTCTCCATAGCCTCCTACCCCCATATGTGAATTAAGCTCCTTTGTTTTCTTAGATAATTTTTGTTTCTATTTTCATGTCATATGATTTTATATGTGTATGGATGTATATATATATATATATAATATAAAATGTACAATGCATATAATTGTTTTTCTGAGTCTGACTTAACTAGTTGAATATTTCTTATTGTATTCATTTTTACACACACATTATAATTTAATTCTTTATGCCTGGAAAAATTCCTTGTGTTTGGATATACTGAATGTTTTTTACCCATTCCTCTGTTGATGGACACCTAGGCTGATTTCATAACTAAGTTAGTGTTAATAGTGCTACAGTAAACATCCATGAGCCAATAGCTTTGTGATATTCTGTCTGTGAATATTCCCAGTAAACACTGGAGAGTGATGTTAAAATCTCATTTTGTACTTTAGTATTTTTAAATTGTATCCTAAATGATTCTGTGTTGTATAAGTTAAATAATAAACTTTGATTACATGCGCCTTCAAGTTTTTTATAACATGGGCATTTTTACCCTGCTAGGTATTTGTGGATCTGACAATAATATAATTGAAATTTTCACAGGTAAAAAGTGAAGTGAATAAATTATACAAACTGCTTGAAATAGACATTGATGGTGTTTTCAAGTCTCTACTACTGCTGAAGAAAAAGAAATATGCTGCTCTGGTTGTTGAACCAACGTCAGATGGGAATTACATTACCAAACAGGAGCTAAAAGGATTAGATATAGTTAGAAGAGACTGGTGTGATCTTGCCAAGGACACTGGAAAGTGAGTTTAGCTTTTAATTTTGTTTTTGTTGTTTGTCCTTCAAAGTTTTGTTTTAGAAAATTCAAGTACTATGGAAAATTTCTGTCAGTCTGCCAAGCTTAAGGATACACCTTAATTCTTTGTTGCAATTATTATTGCATATTACAAATAGAGTTTTACAGTTAGATTGAAAGTTAGATAAAGCTAAATTTGCACAGCAAGACACTAGATAAAAGATAACATCTTATGTTGAAAGTAAATCTTTATACCTAAGATCTTTAAAGGGTTGATTTCGTTGATACTGTTTTATTATTCCTCTTTTTGAAAGTTTTGTGTTTTATACTCCTGAATCCCTAGACCCTAATAATAAACATAATTTTTATGATTTCCCTGTTTTATAACTTAAAATGTGTGATTAAAAGTGGGCCATGGAGTGAGACTTTATTCCCATATATCATTTGTTTTTTTTTGTTGTTGTTGTTGTTTTTTTTTTGATTTTTCGAGACAGGGTTTCTCCGTAGCTTTTGGTTCCTGTGCTGGAACTAGCTCTTGTAGACCAGGCTGGCCTCGAACTCACAGAGATCCACCTGCCTCTGCCTCCCGAGTGCTGGGATTAAAGGCGTGCGCCACCACCGCCCGGCTCCCATATATCATTTTGATATAAATGATTTCTAACTAACCACAGATTAATTTGAGAGCTAGTTTCAAAATACTGTGTGTGCCTCTGAAGTAATATGCAACCCACTAGCCTTGTACCTTAAACTGAATATTATGATTCAAAGATTTTTTGTTTATGGTCTTATTAATGTATGAAGTAACCATTTTTAAAGTTAATACATGTTATTTGCCATCTTTACATATTCCTATTTTGTGATGTAGATCAGTTTTGAAAATAAAATTTTTCTTTATGGCTAGATTCAAAAATTCTTTTAATTTTTGCTAAATATCAGCATTTTAAACTTATTTTCCAATCTTTTCTGCTTTCAAGTTGAGAGATTGTGTTGCTTCTGCAAAACTGCTTTTGATTAGGCAAAGTTGATCATCTGAGTATAGGTCGTGGTCTGTCTTTTATGAAATGTGATTTAAATGCTTCTTTGCCATCAAATATACTCCAGATGAAACTACTTTGTGTAGGCTGTCGATTAGAGTGTTTTCCTCAGCTTTTGTGTTTTCTAAGAAAAGATGGATCATAATAGAAGTAAATTTCTCTGAGTTAGAAATGTATTAGTAATTAAAGCTATACAAATGTTTTTGTTAGGATTCTTTTTCTGACAAATTGTAAGGCAGCTGTCAAACTCTTGCCCTGTGTTTTTTCAGAAATGGTTAAAATATTGGCTTCTTTATTTGTATTTCTTTTTTCTTGAGGCTTTGAGGGATAGCATAAAGTTAGAGGAAGCTGAAGAAAGAAGAGCTTGGTATCTTGGATTTTTTTTCTCCTTTTTTTAGTTTATTATGTGTATGAGTGTTTTTTGAGCATGTTTGTCTATGTACCATGTTAATGCTGGGTGCCCATTGTTATCAGAAGAGGACATTGGATCCCCAGGTACTAGAGTTGTTAGCTGTCGTGTGGACACTGAAAATTAAACCTGTATCGTCTGTAAGAACAAGTACTCTTAACTACTAAGCCAATTTTCTAGCCCCTTAGATTTTTTTAAAAGTTTATTTTAAGAAGTTTATATTCCGTCTTACCTAGCTAAATAGTTGTCTTAGGTGGAGATGGTATCTTGATGCCAAAGATGCTATCTGTTGCTTTATTAATAAAGATAAATTTTAACTTATGGTTAGAATATAATTGCTTCTGGATTTTATAATTACATAAAATGTGATGGCACACTTTTCTGTATTGTATAGTGCATAAAGCTGCCACATAAATGACTGAACTATATGTAAAAGGGAATTCTAAGGCTAGTAAATTTTTGGTAGAGTTCATATTTAAAAATAAAGTAATTCAGTGGGGGCTGGGGAGGTGGCTTTGTGGACAAGAGCCTTTATTGTTCTTGCCGAGGACCTTGGTTTGATTTTCAGAACCAACCGTCCATAACTCTAGTTTCAGGGAATCTTATACCTTCTTCTGACCTCTGTCGATATCAGGCACACATTTCATGTACAGACATGTATGCAGCAAAACACTCATGAACATAAAATCTAAACTGCCTTCTAGACACTAATCCTCATGTTAGCTCTTAGGTCTTGTCCACATACCAATCTCAGAACATGTCTCTTTTATTTGTTCATGCATGCATGATATTAAAACTCATATTTTTCTTTCTTTATACAGTTTTGTCATTGGACAGATTCTTTCTGATCAAAGCCGGGACACCATTGTGGAAAACATTCAGAAGAGGTTAATAGAAATTGGAGAAAATGTGCTAAATGGCAGTGTCCCAGTGAGCCAGTTTGAAATTAACAAGGTAAATGTAGCATTTATTGCTGAGCCCAGCTGCTGTCATATGTTTTTCTCCTCCTTCAGATAGTTGAAGAACCACCTCATCCTTGCATTTTAAATAAATGCTGGCTGGGGGTGACCGCTGCTTAACAATTGGCTCACAGATTGAACATTAGCATAACTCTCCCAGCCACAGGTACTACCATATCTGCTATAGATGAGACTTCTCCTTTTTAATTCCAGACATTGTTGGAATGATTTACTTATGTGTAAGGGCCTAGAGAATGCTTCATTTTGCATACTCCTCCAAAGTAATAGTTGTTTGACAGATAGATCTGTTCATTCATATTCATTCTTATATTCTCATTCATTCTCTTTCTTCCCCATTCCTCATTGTCCCTGTCTCCTTCCCTCTCTTCTGCTTCCACCCCCAAATGTGTATGTGTTATCAAAAGTCTTTTGAGTACAGAGTTAATTATAGTAATAACCTATTCTATATGTCTGAAGCACAAGTACATCTTAAAACAAAACCATGTCACATCATGGGTATGGATATTTTTCTTAGTTAATTTGAGAAGCAAAATCTTGATTTCCAAAGTAGTGTGTAATAAGGAAGATTACCGGTAAGTTAATAGATTTTTCTTCCTCTTAAAAACAAGTATCCTTACATAATGAGAAGTTGATTTTCAAATAATCACTTTACCTACTTTTTTATTTTTTAATTTTTTATTGTTTTTATTGAGGGATATATTTTTCTCCACTTCCTTTCCTCTCTCCTCCCCTTCTACCCTCTCCCATGGTCCCCATGCTCCCAATTTACTCAGGGGATCTTGTCTTTTTCAACTTTCCGTGTAGATTAGATCCATGTATGTCTCTCTTAGGGTCCTCATTATTCTCTGGGATTGTGAATTGTAGGCTGGTTTTTCTTTGCTTTATGTCTAAAATCCACTTATGAGTGAGTGCATATGTTATTTGTCTTTCTGGGTCTGGGTTACCTCACTCAATATGATGTTTTCTAGCTCCATCCATTTGCCCACAACTTTCAATATGTTATTACTTCTTTTCCTGTCTGTGTAGTACTCCATTGTGTAAATGTACCACATTTTCCTTATCCATTCTTCAATCGAGGGGCATTTAGATGGTTTCCAGATTCTGGCTATGACAAACAAAGCTGCTATGAACATAGTTGAACACATGTCCTTGTGGCACGATTGAGCATCCTTTGGTTCTATACCCAAAAGTGTTTAATCACTTTCTGATAGATTTCTTATTTATTTATTTATTTATTTATTTATTTATTTATTTATTTATTTATTTATTTATTTTCTGATAGATTTCTTTGTCAAAACTCCAACAAAAAAATTAAAGGATCTATTGATGACTTTAAGGAGAAATTTTATAATGAAAACTCATTTATACTACGTCTTTGTTAAAGATTGTCATTTTTCACATGTCCATACACTTGAAAACATATTTTATATTGTTAGATTTACTTTATTGTTTTGAAATCCATTTTTATATTCTTTTGAGACAGAGCAAGGTTTTATGTAGCTCAGGCTAGTTTAAACTTTATATAGACTTGAGGCTGGCCTTGAACCTCTGATCTTCCCATCTCCCTCAGGGTGCCAGGATTGCAGATAAGTGCCATCATGCCTGGCTTCTGTGTATCTATATTACCTGAAAAATCTCATATAATATTTTCATATTACTGGAAAATAATTTATGTAAGGCCCTAGGATTGTCAATATATTAATATCTTTTTCTGATATGTTTATTTATTTTTCTTATTGATTATTAAGTTTTCTATTATAAATAATTCCATTGAACATCTATGTTCACTTGTCATTTTGCTTTTAGATGGATTACTTTCTTATTGTATGTTCATTGAAATAAAGCATTTGTATCAAAGATATGACTATATGAATGGGTCTAGGAAAATTGTTTTGTGAAAAGTTGGTGCTTGTTAATAATAACAAAATATTGGTGCTATTTTCATCACAGTTGCTTTGTAATGGTGATGATTTTTTAAAATAAAACTTTGCTACCACTTCCACAGTGTGTTTTCATTTGATTTTTCGAGAGAATATTTTCTAGAACTTACGTTCATACTTGGGTCAATTTTTTGTTTTCTATACTTTGACCATCATGTCTTTAATGTTAAAAAAGCTCTTCACTGTGAATAGTGCAATGTATGTGTGTGTGTGCGTGCGTGCGTGTGTGTGTGTGTGTGTTTTCATGCATGATTTTCTTTCTTTGAAATAGTCTCTAACTGCCTAGAATTTGCTAGGTAGACCAGGCTAGCCTCATGGAAAGCTCCAGGGATCCTCCTGTCTTCACCTCTCCAGTACTGAGATTGCAAGGGCAAGTCATACCTAACTACTTTTCTTGAGTTCTGTGGATCAAATTTAGATCCTCCTGTTTACACAGCAAGAGTTATATCTCCTAGCCCCTGCTTTGCTTTTTGAGACAGGTTTGTCTGTCACTGACTTATAACTTACTGAGTGGATTTGGCTGGCTGGCTGACCTGGGAGCCCCAGGTAGCTACTTGTCTCTGCATCTCCATTGTTAATACATGATATTTATTAGTAACTAAGCTGGCTGCTTTGTTGTTTGTTTTTCTTAACAGTGGTTAAACTATTTAATGATATAACTATCTTCCTAGCCCTTGTGTTTGTATTTATAAAGAAGGGTATATTTTGGGTATAGTAGTGCATATTTTTAATCCCAGCACTTCGGAGGCAAAGGCAGGCTGATTTTTGAGTTCAAAGCCATCCTTTTCTTTTTACTGAGCTTGAAGCCAGCCAAGGCTACATAGTGTGACCCTATGTTTTTTATATTTTTGTAGTGTTAATACAAGCATAGTAAATTCTGATAAATATAGCATAGAAGTCTGTGTCTATTTTTAGTCACCTATTCATTCATATGAGAAAGGTAGTTGTCTTCCTAGTAATCTTTAATCTTTGTACATTGTTAAAGTTATTTGTAATATGAAATCTAAGACTATACCAGCAATCTTTTTCTTTTTCTTTAAAATTTTCTACTCTGCATTGTACTTTGAGTTTTTTCCGTATTTTTGTTAGTGTATAGTCATTGTAAAAATGTGCTATATGTTATTTTCATACATATGTATCATATATTTTTATCTTATTCACTCCTGTATTGAACCTTGAGTGGCTAGTTTATCCATGCATGACATTGTAGATTATTTGTTGATTTATTCCCCAAATTATGCATATATTACAATGGATGTATTTCAAGCATACTATCAAAACACATGTTAAAATACTCCAACTTCATTAGAAATGTATTTAAGTATTGGGAAGCTGTCAGACTTCCAGAAGTGGAAACATATTTTGTAAAGTTTGAATTGCACTTGAAAGGTTGAATTCTGTCACTGATGATATCTACTGTCACATTTTTTTCCCTTGAACTAGCAGGTTTTATTTTTTGAGAAACTGCTAGATCCATATGTCAAAATAACTATTGTTTTCCTACCATTCTTTCAAGTAAGAATTGCATTCTATGTAAACAGCAGTTAGTTTAGCTTGTAATATTTGCACAAATAATTTTCCTATAGTAACTGTCATTCTTCATATATGCTGTATGTATTCTTTGTGTTTAATCATATAAAACAGTAGTCTTATTCTCACAGTTTAAAAGCTTTAGACACTGCTAACTTTGCTAGATATGATGGCTCACAGTTTTAATACCATTACTCTGGAAGTTGAGGCAGTATGATTGCCTCAATTGTATAGCCAGCCTGCTCTACACAGTGAGTTCCATGTCAACCTGGGTGATAAAGGGAGACCACACCCTCAGATTTACTAGTTTTTACTGCTTAGTCAAGAATATTCTCAAATGAAAATACCTTACTATGGTGATGGAAAGTAATATACTGAGTGTTAGTACAATTTGGTGTTACTGTTAGATTCATATTTATAAGGCATGAACATTTTTTTACCAAGCTTTTCTTCTGTATCATTCAAATAGTATTGTTAGAAAATAATTTTTCTCCCGACTGGTGCTGTTGCTGATCTTATTTTGCCACTTTCTGTTACAAACTCATTGTACTCTGCAGAGCTCAAGTTGACATTCAAAGTAAATTCAGTGCTGTGTAGTGCTTTGGAGGTCTATTTTGTTAGAGAAGGCTTTGAGAAACAGATCATTAAGTCAGAGTAGCTGTTATATTCTGATCCCAACTAATCAAATGAGAAAACTACAAACATGAGGAGAAACTCTAAGGCTTCAGAGAACAATGGAGCTAGAGTCTTGATTATTTTAAATATTCAAATATTATGTGGCATAGTTTATAAACTTACATTTATTTTTGTTAGGCTTGTATGTGATTATGCCACTTACTAACTGACAGAGAAGGAAACCATGTTTTCTGCATACATTGTCATTTTCATGTTATACATATATGATTCTGGCAAAAATATATATGTGTGTGTGTATATATATAGTTTTATTTTAAAATTTGGCGAGATTATTGTTCCTCTTTTTTTTTTTTTTTGCCTTTTAGGCATTGACAAAGGATCCCCAGGATTACCCTGATAAAAAAAGTCTACCTCATGTGCATGTTGCCCTATGGATAAATTCTCAAGGAGGCCGGAAGGTGAAAGCTGGAGATACGGTGTCCTATGTCATCTGTCAGGTAAAATTATTCCTGTTTTTATAAGACTTGTGCCCCCTAAGAGTCCTGGGATGGGAAGATAGCTCAATACAAGAGTGAGGACCTGAGATCAGATTCCCAGCACTCAAATAAAAAGGCAGGTATAGTGGCTTGTGCTTATAACTGTAGTGCTGGAAGGTGGGGGCATGCAGATACTCAGAGCTTGCTGGCATTCATTGTTTTAGAAATGTAATATAGGCTACTGGAGAACTTAATCAGCAGTTAAGAGCATTGGCTTCTGCTCCAGAGGATCTGGATTCAATTTACAGCACCTATATGGTAGCTTACTTACAACTGCTTTTAAGTCCATTCCCAGGGAATCCTATACCCTCTTCTGGCCTCCACAGGCACCAGGTATAGGTAGCGCAGACATGCATATAAGCAAAACACCCGTACACAGAAAACATAAGGTAGAGGGTAATAGAGCAAGTTACCTGATGTTGACCTATCCTCCACACAGGTGCACACATGAACATAAACCCCTGGTCTTTATACAGGAATCTTGAGTTGTAGGCAAAAGTTTCTGTTCTACCTGGACCTGCAGCCATTCAGTCTCAAAGAAACACAGAGGCTTATATACTGATGATAAACTGTTTGGCTTATTAGCTCAAGCTTATTATTAACTATGTCTTACAACTTAAGTTATCCCATAATTCTTGTATATGTTTAACCATGTGGCTTGTTACCTTTTCTCAGTAAGACATTCTCATCTTGCTTCCTCTGCATCTGGCTGGTGACTGTCTCTCTGCTTTCCCTTTTCCCAAAATTCTCCTAGTTTGATTGCCCCACCTATACTTCCTGCCTGGCTACTGACCAGTCAGTGTTTTATTAAACCAATAAGTGATAAATCTTTACAGTGTGCAAGAGCATTATCCCACAGCCTTGAGTCAAATCTGGATTGCCATAGTATCTTACTTAGTAGTAGTTCTCTGAATAACTGGTCCCATAGAGAGATGGTTTAGTTTAACTAGCTTTCAAATCTTTAAAAAAGAATTTTATAATGTTTCATTACAAGTTCCACTAAAAAATTCAAAGTAGCTTTTGAAAGTCATTGAGATTTTTTTATTAGACTGTCTTATTACAGTTGTAGTTTGGAGGGCCGCTTGTTGGTCCCTGGCTGCTTAGCCCAGAAGTAATCACACAGAAACTGTATTAATTAAATCACTGCTTGGCATATAGACTCTAGCTTCTTATTGGTTAACTCTTACATATTAATTTAACCCATTTCTAATAATCTGTGTATCACCACATGGCTGTGGCTCACCAGCTAAAGTTCTGGTCTCTGTCTCCTGTGGAGCTAGATGTAGTCTCTCTGACTCCACCTTCTTCCTCTCAGCATTCAGTTTAGTTCTTCAGCTGTAAATTACCTTCCTGAAATTATGTCATAGGCTGGGGTTGTAGCTTAGTGGTTGAATACCTGCTTAATGTGTGTGATGCCCTGGCTTTGATCCTCAACACTGCAAAAAGAGAAAATAAAATAGTATGTGTACTTTCGGTGATATATCTAGCAACTGTAGTAGCTTTTTGTTGTTGTTTTTAATCATTCCTTTTCTGACAATTTTAATAAGAAAGGTCAGTGAATGGAATAATAAAGTAAGTGGTTTTTCCTCCTAGCTTATCAAAATATTACTTAAAAATATGAAATGCATAGATATATGGAGAAAGTTGGAAGGCACAAAGACTTAACTTTACCTCTCTCTTCCTACAGCCTCTTTCCTTCCCATATTTTCTTTCTCCCTATTTTGTAAAACACCTCTAAGGAAACTGTATGCTTTCTCAACATACTTTAAAACTGATAACTAGTTTGTTTGAGAATGGTCTGTCCCTAGCAGGGTAAAGAGGAAAGTATGGCAGAGAAGGAAATCAGGATTTTTTTTTTCCTCTGAAAGTACTTGACTTCAGTTGGAAGATAGAAAACCCAATCTTTTCTCTGTATGTCAGTTGTAAGCCTGTCTCAAGTTCTTTAAAATTACTATTGTATGGTCTACTTACCCCATCACATAACTCATTTGAATAAGATTCTTTCTTTTACATTAATGTGGTGGTTTGAATAGATACGACCGCCCCCCCCCCCCCCCCCAGAACCATGTGTTTTAGCGCTTCACCCTATTAGACTCTATTAGGTAGTGTGACCTTGTTGAACTAGGTATGGCCTTGTTGGAAGAAGTGTGTCACTGTGGAAGTCGACTTTGAGGTCACATATATGCTCAAGCTATGCCAAGTGTGGGACAAAGATGATTTTGTTGCTTGTGGATCAAGATGTAGAATTTTCCAGCATACTGCCATGCTTCCTGCCATGATGTTAATTGACTAAATCTCTGAAACTGTAAGCCAGCCCCAATTAAATGTTTTTTTATAAGAGTCTCTATGGTCAAGGTGTCTCTTCACAGCAATAAAACCCTAACTAAAACAATAAGAGCAATACTACATTATTCCAGTAAAATCTTTAGATAAACTTTAAAATTCATACCTATACAATTGCCCTTTGCTAAAATACAGCCAGCTTGATTTATAATGCATAGAACCTTATGAAAATCAAAAGCTAGTCTACTAATGTAATGTCTGCCACATACTGTAGATGATGTACATAACAATGGTAAGTACATGGACAGGCATCAGCACTTGACTCTATCTCCCTCCTAGGGTTACCCTTGATTAAGAACTGTTAGAGAAAGCCAATTCCTGCAGGAAAATATTTCCATAAATGTCTGGCTTGCTCAAATCCTTAATGTGCTTTGCATATTGCTTCTGACAAGTCTCGTTTCAAAAAACAATTTTCAAATTATGCAAATAAAGATTTTGGTAAATAGACCTTTTTTTCACTTAGGTCTTCACATACATGGACAAGATTCTAGTTTATTAATAACAGGAGCAGACGGTAGCTTACAATTTTGAAAAATATTACAGGTTTAGTGAAATAACATCTAATGATAAAATCTAGACAGTTTTTTTAAAACAGTATTTTGTTTAAAACTGAAATGGAGGTATTTGTTGATGTATAAAATAGCATGATAGATATATCTAAAAGTCAAACTTGTATTCCTTAATGTCAAAATATTTGCTCTTATTCTTATTTTGATTATTTTATGTCCTTAAAATGCTGATGCTAATGTAGTATAATATAATGTGACTTAAACATTTTCCCACCCACTAATGTTGTTCCTTCTTTTTAAAATACAAGTTATATTTGGTTTTATGAGCTTATTTTCCATGTCATATTCTGAGAAAGGGCATAGGACTTTAATTTGCCATTGTTGCCCTCAGTGGAACACTTGCACCTTTCATCATGTTTATTGGCCAAATCTGCCTGCCTCTTTTTCTTTCTAGTTTTATAGCATAACATTTAGAATGAATTTTTGATAATGTATGGTGACAAGTTTCTAAGAAGATTGTTTGCTGCCCTAAGCCAAGTTGTCTTCTAAGAACAGCTTGTCTTTCAAACAAGTTCGGTTTTTTTTTTAATTTTCTAATGTTATTTTATTAATATAGAATAGACAAAGTGAGAATTTTTTAATATAAATAGTTGTGTAACTTGCATGTGTCTTACTTCAGGAAATCTCAAGAACATCAGAAAATATCGTAGAACTCACTGCATCTTAAACTGGAGTATCCAATAGTCAATACAGTAAATACAGTTCAAAAAGCAAAAACACCCTACATCCAAGTGCTGAGAATCCAACTCTCTCCTTCCTTATCAGTTGTTTTTTGACAACTCTCCTAATTATTTCTGATCAGTGAATGTAGTTCCTTCCTACAACTTAATTTGGAAATAGTCTCAGTATTTGCTATAATACCACTGAAGTAGTCAGTTTTTCTGTAAAAAAAAAAATGTAGCTGAATCGATGATTGGTTGTCGAGTTCCATGGCTCTATATATAATGCCTAAGTATGAATCATGTCACAGGTATTAACTCAGGCTCTGCATTTTCACACCCTTTATCTTCCATTCCCTCCTTTTGGGGTGGGGGGATAGGGAATGAGGAGAATTGTTTTGCTGAGAATAATTTGCAGAGTTGTTGAACTTAACTTGCTTGTTATATCCCTGGATGGTGAACAAGTTCGGTTTTATAGAATATTTTATGTGTAGAATATTGTATAATATGGATAAAGTTTAATTTTTAAAATTGTGTATGAGTATTTTGCCTGCATGTATGTTTTGCAACACTTGTGTACTTGGTGCCTATGGAACCTAGAAACTGGCATCAGTTCCCCTGGAGCTGTAGTTACAGACTACTGGGAGCTGCCATGTAGGTGCTGGGAACTAAAGCACTCAATCCTTTGCAAGAGTAGTAAGTGCTCTTAACTGCTGAGCCATCTCCTCAGCCTCTTGTCTACTAATTTTACACCTGTAGTTACTTAGTTTTCATTAGTCATAATTTTTGTAGGGTATATCTTTGAGATCCCCCCTTCCCATCAACCATTTAAATTTTCCCCCATTATTTTCTCACAAACAATGGTTAACTTAGAGCATCTGATTATCCCTAAAATTTATGAATTGCTACATTGGCACCTCAAGAAAGACCAATCTTCCGTCCTTATTCGTTCTTAAACGGTGTATGTCACATGTTCTTGAAATCTTGTTCAGTTTAAGGACTAGATCTTTGAGTAATGTCTTGGGTAAGCCTAGATGTTTTCCCAGCACATGTTGGAAAACTATTATCTAACCAGTTGTGTTGTTTTTGAGCTTAGATTTTAAAAATACAGTTGGACATATGTTGGGGTTACTATTAGCTACAAGCTATTTAGAGTTAAAATGCCTTAAGTAGAAAGTATGCTCAGAAATTTTCAACTGCTCTTTAAATGTACAAATATTCCTTTATGAGAACTTTTAGTGACATGCTAGAAAGTAACTCAAGCAACTTGGTTGCATTTGTTTTCTAGTTCTTGGGATAGAACTTAGGACCATGTGCATGCTAATGCTAGGCAAGCACTTTACCTCTTCCGTTCAATCCACCAGTGCCTTTAAAACTCTTTGCTTCTCCAATTTTGACTTTAATTCATGATTTGAAAATGAGAGAATTTTCTGGGTATTGTGGCGCATGCCTGTAAACTCAGCTCTTGGAAGGGGGAGAGAGAGGGAGGGAGGGAGGGAGGATGGGAGGAAGGGGGAAAGAGGAAGGTCAGTAGTAGTTCAGGTCCTCTGAGCTAGAAGCCTTCCTAGGGCAACATAAGATCAGCCTCAACAGCAACAAAAAATAAAGATTAAACTGATCAAAAAATACACTTCTATAGGCTGACCAGATTTCTGGTACTAAAAGGCAGTCTAAGTATAGGAAGACACAGACCAGTGGTTTGTTTTCAAACTCTTAGCTAGCAACTGTTGCCTTATTGTCACCTTAAAATTCTAGTTTATTAAAGGGCATTCATTGCTTAAGCCTGATTAATTCTAATTTTTTCTTTACTTAGTTGTGAAATGTGGGACAAACAAATTTTAACGTGAGGGTTGCTTTCTTTCTAGGTATTTTATTATGCCTTAGACCAGACAGAATGTAGTTGAAAGACAGATACCTTCTATTGGGAACATAACCTGAGAGACAACGTCCTGGTTTGGGTCTCTGGGAAAGACTGTGATATGGGAGGTTGCCTCAACTTTGAGCTAGATGCTGAGCTGAGAAGAGACTGATTGTGGCATGAGTGAAAGAATAGGATTCACATTATAATCAATTCTGCAGAGCAGCTGAGCCCTGTGAATAGTTATAATTTACTAGTCTGAATATTAAATTCTGTTGTTTCGGTCAAGAGCAAGAGTGGAGTGAGTCATTGGATGTTGGTCTAGTAGAATGGTGACTTTTTGATTCACAGATGACAGTGACATCTCCATAGAGCTGCATGTGGGTTAGTTACATAGAATCTCACAACTTTAATTTTATAATGTAAAAAAGAAATAGCTCTTGAAAAGAGTCTCTCTAACCCACCTTCATTTGCTTGAGGAGGAGCCAGCTTAACAGTGGAGAGTAAATAGCCCTTCCTCTGGTCAGATATTTGACTTTTGAGCACTGCTGCTTTCAAGGTAGATCAGTTACTTTTCTTGTTCCTATGATAAAATACCTGAAAGAAACAAAGGACAAAGGATTTATTTTGACACAAAGTTGGAAAGAATATATGTTTATCACAGTGGGAAAGGCATGGCAGTGGGACCAGCTTGTGAAGGTATTTGTATTTTAGTAGGACTAAGAAGCAGAAAATGGGAGACGCTGGGCAGATGCTCTGCTGGCTTTCTCCTTTTTCCCTTTTTATTCATTTTGGAACCTCAGCACAATGCATGGTAATGCTTACTTTCAGGGCTCGTTTTCTCCACCTCAGTTAATTATCTCTGGAAACACTCTTCCAGACATGCTCAGAAGGTTGTTTGATTAAAACTCAAAGTATATCTTAGCCCAGTCAACTAACAATGAAAGTTAGCCATCCTACTAGGATTGTGCATTATTATTACTGTTCTGTCTTATGTCTTGCATATATGCCTTGTTTCTACTGGGGTTTAGTTCTTGAGCTTTCCCACTTGCTCATTTGGGGCAAAGTTGGGTGCTAACATGCTTCTATGGCTGGAATTGTGGCTGGAAGTTACTGTATTAACAGAATAAAAGACATGCTATTCTTTTATTATTGTGCCTCTAAAAGCCTTTCTCAGTAGACTAATTGTCACGAGTCACTTGCAATGTGTTTTTATGTCATGACAGGTAGAATTATATAATCTAGCTAGTGACATCTTACTTACTGGTTCCATATTCTGCCAGCAAAGAACACAAGACACTGGATTTACATTCTCGGGCAATGGATAAGATTGAGGCCGAGAAGTTCTTGGGCTTCCTATTCTAAGATACATGTGAGATTTTCAATAGGGTACCATTTATTGGTGTTTGGAACTGAACACATAAAATTTAAACTGTTGTCCCTCTATTTGATTAAGCAAGTGTATGTGTGATTATTGCTTTGCTCACCATTTTACTTACACTGTGTTTTCTGTTAGGATGGGTCAAACCTCCCTGCAACTCAGAGGGCCTATGCACCTGAGCAGCTGCAGAAACAGGACAATTTAGTCATCGACACCCAATACTACTTGGCCCAGCAGATCCACCCTGTCGTGGCTCGGATCTGTGAACCCATAGATGGAATTGATTCTGTGCTCATTGCATTGTGGCTAGGTAAGTGTCTCAAACATGTGGGAACTCTCATAAAAAAAGTCATGATATGCTTAGTCCTCTTGTAACCGTTAGGATTCCTGCTTGTAGATTCAGGATTTTGGCATTACGTCTTTGTTTCTTAATTTTTACAATTGTTTAGTTCCTATCTCCCATTAGAATGTGAACTCCACATATACATAGCAATCTGTGGAAATCTGCCTGCTCGACATGTGTACTCACTACGTAGGTGCAGAGGGAGAAAGAAGTTTAGGTATCAATATGGCCATTGGACTTAAAATTTTAAAGGTCTAATTAGTGACCTTCCATTATTAAGGAGGTTAATGATATTTTGCATTTTTTAGCCATCTTGTTCGTCTAAAGGTATTTTGTTATAAAATGAGAAAACGTGACTTTGTAATATTTAGTTTTTACTTTATATTCTTCTAAAATAAGACTCACTGTTATTCTATAGGAATTAACTGTTTCCTAGTTTATCATCATCCCAGGAGGTAACAGCTAACCTTGAGACCTTAATGTCTCTTTGATTTTTATTTCAGTTTCACCCTTTACTATGTCATTATTATTGCCATCTTTGCTTTAAAATGTTTTTTTTAAACATCCCTCATTTCACTTCCAAGTGACCAGAGCATAGTTATGTTGCTTTTAAGTAAGGTCCCTGCTTTATTCTGTCACAAGCAAGGCTGAATGTTTTTAAAGTACTCCTGAATAAAGTCCTTAGATGGTACCACATTTTCCATAAATCAAGTCTACTAATGCTGCTGACATCTCATAGACTTTAGCTTTGACAGTTTCAGACTAGTTTTCTAACTCCAACCTGTGCATTCTCTAAATAATGTGTCGCTCATTTTCTTGCAAAAGTCTTCTCTGACTTTAACTAAAATGTCTAGCTTGAACAGAATGTTGGCATCACTGGGACCTGGTTTAAATGCTAGTTTTGATATTAACAAGCCTCTGCATCTTGTTCTGTACATTGATTTATTTTGTGAGTAATAGACTGTAATTGCTCTGAGAGAGATAAGATGTATGTGTGATGCTCAGCACAGGGCTTGAGGCAGAGGGAGTGCTCAGCACATGGTGGTATAGCCACCTGCCACCCTAATTTCAGGCTTCTGTGTAAATATGTCCATCTTCCTTCAGTCCATAGGATTTATGCATAGGTAGTACTCAGTATGTCTTTGTGGCATGTCATTGGATTTTCCAAAGCTCATTATCAAATCACATATATTCCATCCTGCCCCTGTTGAGTGTGTTTCTGAGATCAACCCCTCCACCCCCATCTTACTATCCCATCAGTGTCTGATCTGGAAGTGGAAACTCATTTTTGACATTTGCCTAAGCAAAACATAATTAGGAAGATAAAATTCTGCTACCAAAATAATCATATAATGTATTCTCCAAGTTGAGTTGTATTTGATGATGTTTATAAATCCTCAGCTGGGAGGAGGAGACTATAAATGCATGATTTTTTAGCCTCATTTTTTTTCTTTTATACATTGAGTGCTTACTCTGTTTGCTGTGATAAGTACTTGCCACATCTTATTCAGCTTTTGTGACAGCTTCATATAGGTACATTGAAGCTTCATTTTACAGAGGAGGAAGCTTATGTGAAGTAGCTGATAGTTTGATCATATAACTTGCTAAGTATAGGGCTATAGTTGGTTTTTAACTAAGCACTATGTGACACTGAAGCTTCTCCTGACCACTATGTTAAATTTGCTTCTTAGTGATAAATAGCATGGCTCTAAGAGCCTGTAAAAGATGTTCTTTACAGATGAGAGACGATATGGATATGCAAGCATGAGGAGCTTCACCTTCCTCTCAACTTCACTTTGTGCCTCCACATTTCTCACTGAAACCTCAAAGCTAATCCAGTTTTTATTAGTTCTCTCTGTTTTTCCATTTGTTATATAATAAGTAACTTGATCCAAAGGCAGACTTTCCTGTTGTGTGTTTTGTTTTGTTTTGTTTTGAGTTTTCCAGTGACTGGGAACTGAAATGGAGGGAAGATGGGAAAGCTCCATCTTAAGAATGAATACCATTTTAGGCTATATATCCCCCATTTCTTGGTCTTAGCTGTATAGATTCCTGGGAGATTCCGTTCTTCCAGGTTTTTAACCTGACTCTGAAATGCCCCCCCTTTCCAGTAGTCTCTTTCAGTACTCTTTCCCCCCTCCATTCCTTGCAACCTGATCTCTTGTGCTCCCATTCCCACCTGCCCACAGTCCACTCACTAAATCTCTTCTAGTTCTATCCATTTGTCACGATGTCATTGTTTTTTAACAGCTAAGTAATTCTTCCTTGTGTAAATGTATCACATTTTCTTTATTCATTCCTTGTTTGAGGGGCATCTAGGTTGTTTCCAGGTTCTGGCTATTATGAATAAAACTACTATAAACATAGTTGAGCAAGTGTCCTTTTGGTATGATTGAACATCCTTTGTACATATGCCCAAGAGTGGTATAGCTTAGTCTTGTGGTAGATTGATTCCCAGTTTTCTGAAAAACCACCATATTGATTTCCAAAGTGGCTGGACCAGTTTGCACTCCTTGTGACCAGATTTGTGCCTAGTCTAATTGTCACCAAAGAGGCTTCATTCAGCAACTGATAGAAATAGTTGCAGATGCAGACCCACAGACAAATATTAGGCTGAGCTTTGGAAATCCTGCAGAAGAGGGGGATAAAGGATTGTAGGAATCAGAGGAGTCAAGGACACCACAAGAAAACCTGCAGAATTAACTAACTTGGGCTCATAGGGGCTCACAGAGACTGAACTGAACCAGAGAGCCTGCACTGGACTGATCTGCACATATGCTACAGTTGTATAGGTTGGTCCTCTTGTGGGACTCCTAACAGCAGAAGCAGGGATGGTCTCTGACTCTTTTGCTGGCTTTTGAGACCCTTTCTCTCATACTGGGTCACCTTGCCCATGGGGAAGTGTCTAGTCTTAAGGGAACTCGATACGTTATATTTTGTTGATATTTGTGGGAGGCTTGCCCTTTCCTAAATAGAAGCACAGGAGGAGTAGATTGGGGGGAGGGAATGGTAACTGATGGAGTTTGGGGGAGAGACTCGGAGTAGAGGAGGGGGAGAACTGCAGCTAGAATGTAAAGTAAATGAATTAATTAAAAATAATACTAAAAAAATAATGAATGCTAGTTAACAGAAGGAAGTGCAAAACATAGAGTTCTATCAAAATAGGACAGTAAAGGGTCATGAAGCCTTTCTGTGTGAATAGGCCTGAGACCCACTTGGTATGTCAAGACTGGTTATATTGGGAGTGAACTGGACTGTTTTTCATTCTGAAGGTCATAATTAAGACCACAAGGAGCAGATTTGTTTTCTGTATGCTGGGGTTTGAATTCAGGGCCTTGGCTATATTAATTCTCTCTACCATGGAACTCAAGCGTCTGTAGTGGTTAGATTTTTTTTTTTTTACTTTTTTTGACAGTATTACTTGCTATTATTTGTTTACTTAAATATACATTATCATAACTGGCAGTTTTATGAATCTGGTTTAAGTAAATTATTTGCAAAGCTCTACTAGCAGTTTAATGAGTCCCATCTTTGGGGGTTTCATGTGATTGACATATCTCAATCTATACAGGACCTCTTTCAGTCTTGGATGTGTCCCATCATGTATCCATCATTCCTACTCCATTATCAGAAAGCTTTCTTGGTACAACAGAGATAGTGTCAACACAGTTCTTCAGTAGCTCCTTCTTCATGCCGTATAACTTATTAAAGCCAATGGAATACTTGTATTTTGAACCATGGAGAAACTGTTGCTATTCCCTCATTCCAAACTACTTTTCCTTTTGGCCTCTTGATAATTTTTTAATATAACAATAATATGTGTAATTGTTACTTGTATAGCCACCCTTCTTCTGTGTCTCCTCTTCTCTCATCTTCTCCATTACTAGCCCTACTAAGTAGTATAGCTTTTTCTTTGTGTAGGGTTCTGCATTAATAAGTATCAACCATTAGGAGCTGAGGGAAACATTAAAATGCACTAGGCAAATCTCAGTAGGCATTTGCTTCTGCTCTCTTAAGGAACTGTGCACCCTTTATTTCTTCATTCCACATGAAAAATTAAGGTGGCTTTTCACTTGGGGCTTTGAGCCCCCCATTAGCGGTTCTCTTGTAGTTTGTGGTTTTAGTGAGGGATAGGGAGGGGATATGGAAGTAGTGTCAAAGTAAGGGGAGTGGTAGGGGTTATAGGGGTTTCAAAGAGGTGCAAGCTCTAGGCATAAAATTACTATAATTTATTTTCAAAATTCTAAATCTGTTTTCTTTATGTAAAAAACTGCAGTTAGTGAACTGACACTGTTAAATAAGTTGAAGTGTACAAATGTATACATGAAATACAAGCCCTCCAGCTGCCTAATCACAGACATAAAATAATTCTCTTGCTTTTAATGGAGTTTTTATCTTTGATTAATGAAATGTATAACAGCGTCGAAACTTTAGTGAAGTTTGATACTTTGTCCTTTTAGTTAGTACAAAGAAATCAGGAATAATGGTATAGTTTCTTAGGAAAATGATTAAGTTCATGAATTTTTTATTTTTAAGTCTCTTTTGTTGAGAGCAAGTATATTTTTCAGCTACCTTTTTCCTTTTCTACTGCCTTTATGCTACTTTCCTTGAAATGAAAGGCAAGCATCAAGTGTTGGTTTTATCCTGTGGCTTCATTTTGGAAATTTTCTATTTTTATTTCTCTCCCATCAAGATGCTTCCTGAATTCTGTCTGGTGGCATGCTGCATGACCAGGTGTTCTATATGAGAAAGCCATTTTAATGGAAAAAAAGGAGAAAGAGGATAGTCTATTAAATGAGTGAGTGGATAAGCCTGTTGAATTGAGAGAGAACGATTTATTCTCTCTAATAACTAATAGTTCTTATTATCCCCCTATAAAATATATGTCATTTTTTTTCAGAAACCTATGCAAGATTATTGCTATTGAGCTTAAAGAAAATAAAATTTTACTCTTTTTCATCTGTGAA